TCTCTCTCTCTCTCTCTCTCTCTCTCTCTCTCTCTCTCAAATCAACTTTCTTGTGCTTATACCAAAATTAAACCATGGCATTTGTGATTTGGCATACAGCTCATTGCATCAGTCATTTATATATGTCTGCTCCACACTGAATCTAGTGCACATCAGTAGCTGATGTGATTCCAACTGACTTTTTTTCAGCATTTGCAACAGCAGTTCAAATACCAATCCAGGCTTCATTCAGTGCACAGAAGAGGTAGTGGTGGAACTGCCTCATTGTCAGTTAATCTTTTCTATCCAGTAAGCTATTATTGCTGGAATTCCAGGTGTTACAAGTTGGCAATAGGATGTGGGACCTGAATATGAAGATACTTTTTTCCTGTGATTTCGCTTCATAGAGTGTTTAAGCACTGACATTTTGAGCTTTTCCCCACACCTCCAACAAGGTGATTTTCCCTCATCTCTGAGAAGGGAGGGATGTAGGTTAGTTTCTAAACTGCTCCCCCAACAGCAGCCATTTTAGTGGGTCTCTGCAGCAAGGCCAGTGAAGTTGCTGCCTGCACAGAATGCAGTGTGTGTTACTTTCAGTGCAGCTACTCGTTCTCATGGGCTGAAAAGAAGTGCTGCTTTTCATATACAGTAGGAAGAAGCAACCTTTGGGGATTTTCCCATTAAAATCAGCACTTGAATCAGAGCTCTGTGTTTAAAGGGACAAGGAAAAGTGGGGGGAAGTCTTCACACAGCACTTGTTCTCCCTATGCAAGCCCTGTCAGGGCAGGGATCAGTAGGAATAGTGCCTTCACAATGACCTAGCAGAGAGAAGAGAAAAGAAAGCAAGGCTCTGTTGTCTTTGCCAGCCAAACCAGAAACAGCCATGGAGGCCAGATGGCCCCACTCTATGGACAAGTCCTCTCCCTGCCTCAGGCCTGCAAATCAGGACATTCGCAGAGACAGCTTGTTCCATTTTTCCATGGAAAGCACTTCTAGCATCAGCCTGCTTCAACAGCAAGATGGCACCAAGGGAGAGACTCTCTAATGTCCCCTGTCAACATGAGCAGGCCAAAGAAAGCACGTGGAAGAGCCCATAATTGACCCATGTTACTGATAATCACATAAAGTGCTGTAGGGAAGAGCAAGCCACTGAAAAACAGAAGGAACTATTGACCCATAACTGGCTTAGGGGAATCTAAAAGAGGGTAGCCGCTCTACTCTGATTTTATTTCTGGTGCACTTCCTGCCAGGCCCTCAATGCCATGGTGGAATCCCAACCTGAGAAAGGGTTTCTCTCCTTACCTAAACAGTTCTGTTGCCAATATATTCTTTACTCAGTCCTTATATTCTCTTTTTTTAAGCTGCCAATTGTCTTTGGCAGAGTACGGCAATAATGAAAAATAATAATGTGTACATCTGAGTCTGGGACAGAGAGAGGCATTCTCCCCCCCCCCCAGATGTAGATGGCCCTGGGTCCCCTCCTTGCAGCCCCCAGAGACTTTCTGATCCTCATTTTGAAAATTGGGGGTGTGATTTTTCTGCCATTTTAAAGAAGGAAACAAATTTTGAAAACAAACATTTAAAAACTCTGCCTCTAAACTAACCTCAAGCATTTTCCAGGAATTTCTTCAGTCAGCTCCTAGGAACTGTCCAGTTATTCAGGACAGAGAATTTTGTTCAGCCCAATATGTAGTTGTCCTGTTGATGTGATTTTAATAGCAACACCATACCAAGCTAGTTGTGTGCCTGAAACAGTGCCCAATATGCTAGTTCTCTCTCTCTCTCTGTCTCTGTCTCTCTGAGCTTCAATCCAGCCATTATTCTGACCTGCCTAAGAGCATATCCCGATAGCCAATTTAACATGCTTTCCTCCAGTCTGAGAGGCAGCACAAAGTATGCCAGGTTAAATTTGCTGTGTCCCCATAGCCAATGACTGCTCTACCTCATTAATGATGCATTTCCACTTCTCCCCTGCTGTAGGAAAACCAGGCACCAGTCACTCGCTCTCAGGGAGGGCTGGGGCTGAGGGAAGAGGCAGGTTTCGACCAGTAGGTTGAGCTATCTGTTAGAACCTGATCTGTGGGGAGAATGGGAGCTTTTCAGCTGTCTGCTTTACTAGAAAACCTGCACTCACCCCATGGATCATGTGCTGCAGCTGGTCTGAGACAGCCTCTAGGTAAAGCAGGAAAGACCTGCCTCTTCTGCTTCAACAGGAAGCCCCTACCCACCACACAGATGTTCCATGAATTATCTCTGTCTTCTGCTGTTCGCTTGTTCTGTCTTAGTCGCTTTTGTGTCTCTCTCACTCTCACCTTATCGCTCTGTCCCTCTTCCCATATTCTCTGCTCTCTTGTTCTGGATGAGTCTCTGTGCTCACAGATGGTCTTGTTTAGACAGGAACAAGGTGTCTTCCATGAGGGAGGCATAGTTGGCAGTGGGGTGGAAAAACATGCTTGGTAGATTTTGAAAGTGGGTCTCCAATCCTCTGGATGGTATATGGTGGCTAAGTGGCAGCTGCTTCCTCAGGCCACTTGGGTGCTGAGCGCTGAGACTTTCTCTTTCACCATGCTCCTCAGCTCCCAAGCCATAGTGCCCCTCCTTTCCCCAGTCATACCGAAAAACTCTGGAGCATCCTTCAGCCAGGCCTCAGCCCCACTGCCATTCAGAAAGGTGAGCGCTCCTTTCTTTCCAGAGCTCCTTTCATCCCTCAGTAGCAACTAGCTGAGGCTTATTTTGTGGAGAGGTTTTCCAGTTTACAACCTGCACATTCATGCCAGCTTTAATGCCTCTGTTGACAAGCTTCCTTAATCGTCCCAATTCACACTGTATTCCTATGGTCAACAATGCTTAGGCAAAATATAATTTGCCACTGAAAAGGCAGGCCTTTAGATTATTTTTGCTGGATCATGCTTGCTTTAGATCATGCATGCTGGATTATCACAGCAACAAGAATAGTCATGCCTTTCTTTGATTATTGCAGTGAATCCCTAAATGCAGAATAAATGCCCAACCCAGCTTAATTAGCATATTATTTTCAATTGTCACCATAAAAACTTCAAATTCCTATGTCTGAAGCACAAGTTTGGGTGTCTGCGGCTCATAAACCTATGAACTGTAAATCATTCACCCCTTAGCGCATTCATTCACACATACTTCACTCCAACAGCAGTAAACTCCTCTTTTTTATTAATGCCTTGGTGGGATCATATGGTGAAGTTAAAGGAAATAATATATTTAAGTATTGTTTGCTTAAGTTCACTATTAAAAGAAATTTGTGAAGATTTCATAGTAAGCATAAAACTTACAAGAACCAAAAATAATAAAATACAGAAAGAATATATATGATGCAGATGTAAGAGCAGAATGGCCAACATCTGTTATCTGATGATTCTGCAGCCTTGGCTGGAAAGATGCAAAGAAACTTGAATTTGATGGAAAGTGGAGAAAAGCTATACATTCTGCTGAAAGCACATGCCATTTGTCTAAAAAATAAATTACAGGTGTGAAAGTAGTTAAATAGCAATAGGCCATAGAACTCTCAAAACAAAACTAGGTCAGATTCCTCTCACCTTACCAGATCTTTGCCTAATGGTATCCAATGCCTGATCACTCCTGCTGTCCAAGCCAAAATGAACCTGGAAGGAAGTCACCAGTGATCTGAGAGAAGGTATAGGCCTGCAACAGCCAAAGAAGACCAACAGGAGTTGGGTTGATCTCAGCTTCTGCTGCATCATCACTACAAAGCACTATGTGTGCATATAGTAAAGCTTGTTTCAGGAGAAGATAGAAAATACCATTAGCATTGGAACAGATAAATAATGAAGTTTTCTGGGCTGGGATGAGAGAAAGACAGTGTCCTGAGGACATGTCTTTCAAGATCAGTTAGTGAGACATCTGTGAACCAATATTAGGAGAACATGTGGATATGATCTAAGCATCTAAGAAGACAGTGACCAAGAAACCAATATCTGCCATTCTGAAACCTACTACTGTATAAAATTTTGCCAAGCTGCTTACCATGATCTCCCAGCCCTTGGATATCTTCTCTTGTTCTTTTAATTAGATTTACAATGAGATGATCCGAGACCTACTGAACCCTTCCTTGGGCTACCTGGATCTGCGTGAAGATGCCAAGGGTTTCATCCAAGTGGCCGGAATCACAGAGGTATCAACCATCAATGCTAAGGAGGTAAATAGGAATAAACCCCGCAAAGGACCATAAAGAAACAAGATTCACTGTTGCCAAATGCAGTCCTACAAAATAGTAATCCTAATTATTAATTTAACTTTCTTCAAGAGTCTACCATGGATTTGTCACTATGGATAGCTAGCCTGTTCTGGCTGAACATCCAAATCCAGCCCACTTGGTTTAAACAACTGGCAAGTTTGGTCAAACTAACAGTTTCTAACCCAGTTTTTTGTTTCTCACAATGGTTGAGACTGCATGTCTTTACTGTTAGGAACACTGTCAACCCAGAGCCCCCAGAAAGCATCCTGTTTAATGTGCAATAAATAATCAGAACCTCTTCTTTCTTTTCCCTTTTTAATTCTTATATTGGTATTTCTGTAGCTAAAGATGGGAGCCTCATTTGTTTGTTCTGCCACTTACTGAGATATAAGGCAGGTATTAGGCTGGGGAATACAGCTGAGCTTCATGCTTGTGTTTGGAGGAAGAAAAAGAAGCACAGCTGAGGTAGAACAAATTAAATCTTTTTCACTGAATATTGGTCAAGGGAATTAAAATCAAACCAGTATTCCCTGGCAACTGGTAGCACAGAGACTTTGAAGAACAGACAGCCAAATCATAGGCTTGCTTGTTCAGAAGTCTGTCTCACAAGTGTTAATCCCAAGCAAGTGTGCATAGCTCTGCAGTTTTAACAGATCTGATTACAAAACCACTCCTGCAAGTCTCTTGACCTGGCTTCTCTCCAGTTGAGGAAGATTGTTTCGGGCAGCCTTCTCCAGCCCATTCGAGCTAAAAATGATGGGCATAGTGGTCCAGTATACCACATGGCACCAGGTCAAGGAAAATTGGTTTAGTTAGTATTCACTGGGTAACCAGAAAGAAACAGATTAATATATTATGTGAAGGGATTTTGCAAAGAATTGCTTTCCTCTGCATCTCTCAGCTTGCTCAGTTGCCCATTTTCTTCTGCTTTGAGTCCCCCTGAACTTCCATAATATTCCCTATGCTAAGCCTCAAAGTTCCCTTTTGCCTCTTCCTGGTGATGGTGTCCTGTCTGTGTCTTTCTCCGTCCACAGCTCCCCATCATCCTGTAGATGGAAGTCACTTTGGCTTGAAAAGTTATTACAGTTAGAAGGCCTTGTGGTGAAAGCCAACAGGGGCTTTCCATTAGCAGCTCTTGAATGTGCTACACCATGCCCTGCCCTCACTGATGAAGGGAAAAAGAGGAGTTTCTGTTTCAGAATTGTTCCTTTATGTAATTATCGCTACCAGGCAGTCTGCTGCAGTAAGTCCAGTCAAGGAAGAAGACATAGTTCTTCTTTCTGGAAGGCAGAAAAGACAGGAGACCCTCTGTAATATTGCCTTGTAACTTCACTGAAAATAATATTTCATGAGGTACGAAGGTATGATAACAGTTTGGAAGTAAAATGCATATTCCCAAAGAACACCCACCAATATGTCTGACCTTTTGGTTTTCGTTCACTTGCATGAGGCTCAGAAAGCTTGCAGACCAGACTGAATCTGCTCTTTTGCTCTGTTCTTCCTCCCTCAGGGCATTATTGGAGACACAGAGCTGCCATCAGCTTCCTTAATCTACACGAAATTGTTTTTGTTGAGGCTAGAGTTTTACATTCTTCTTGTCCACATAGATAATGCAGTTGTTGATGAAGGGCAATAAGCAACGGACTCAGGAGCCTACAGCAGCCAACCGAACATCCTCACGTTCCCATGCAGTGCTGCAGGTCACCGTGCGCCAAAAGAGCCGCATCAAAAATATTATGCAGGAGGTGCGCATAGGCCGACTCTTCATGATTGACTTAGCGGGCTCAGAGCGGGCCTCTCAGGTATGGATGTGGAGGGGAAAGGGCCAGTCACCTCAACAGTGAACACACACACATGTACAGATTAAGGGAAGCAGCAAGATAGGAAGTGCCCGAGGAAAGAGTAGGAAGGACCAGAAGCACTGGAACTGAAAAACCTGGTGATAAAACCTCAGTACTATATTTAAACAGACTTTGCAGTGGCATTCTGGAAACTGGCTAACTTCCAATTTGGGGGATGAGTTTGCATGATTACTTTGCTTAAAATCCTATAAGTAGAATAATTTTATTAATAGATGTTTTATTGGCAGTAATATATTCTAACTCTGTTTTACAAGACTGAAGGGGTAAGCCTGTTCCAAGGGGTTTATTCTAAAACATAGACACAAAAAATGGAGGACAGGAGGGAAATGGAAAAACACATTTAACTAGGAAATTGGTGATAATTACAGTTATATGCACTCAATTACAGGAAGTGAATTTGGTGAAGAGAGTTGTTTCAAAAGGTATTCATCCTGATTTCAGTTGTCAGTGAGAGAAAGTATGAAGTAAAAATCAGTGTAAGAACAGCTCTTTAAAGAATGATAGAGTAGTTGGACTGTGACCAACCAAGAAGCTCACCAGGATGGTCTTGGCCCAGAGACTTAACTTATCTTGTGAAGACAATCAAAGAAGCAATTCTTATGCACACTATCCCAAGGACTCTGAAGGAGGACAGGATGCATATATGAAGCATCCATTCTTCTCAATTTTATTTGCATTGAGGTTATCAAGACAGCCTCCATTCCACATAGTTCCACGGCTGTGTATTGGGGAAAAAACAGCCATCTCTATTCTGTAAAAAGATACTGGTAACAGAAATGGGAATAATAATCCAAATATTATTGTACTCCTAGCATTCCTTATCTCTGTTCCACAGAGGACCTCATTTCCTTTCTATAGAGCTAATAAAACATTACAAGCCTTCCTTATTTCCAATCCCCATTTCAAGGGTGCTATTTAGATGGTAGAATGCAGATATAATGCAATTATATATTATATTAATTATATTAGATATAATGCAATTATAATTAATATTATAATATTAATATAATTAA